ATCAATTCGTCTACTACAATCGAAGCACCGCATGCTTCCATCACACCAGCGTCCATGTTCACTGCTCCATCTGAGAATGTTTCATCACTCTCTACAGCATCACCAAGTACAGATTTAGATCTGCCTCCTTTGAGTACCCAACATTGACACTAATGTGCATCCCATGATCACTAGGAAGAAGGCCTGAGGTCAACAAAGCCTCGTTGCTCTTCAACCCTCTGATTCGACTGAACCTAGACGTATTACTCCAACGTCCACATTGGCTGCAAGCTATGCATGAAGAACTTGCTGCTGTACACTAACATCATACTTGGGACTTGGTTCCTCGCCGTGAAGCCATGACATTGTTGGATCTCGTTGGGTGTTTAAAACCAAACTCAAGTCCGATGGTTCCATTGAACGCTTTAAAGCACGGTTAGTTGCCAAAGGATACAACCAGTTGGAAGGTATTGATTTTACTGAAACCTTTAGTCCTGTTATTAAACCTACCACAATTAGTCTTGTTCATTGTGAATATTTTTGGCATTAGGATAGCTATTCCACCCACAACAGTGTATCAAACAAATATAATTCATCTCTCGTGCTACTGTTTGTGGCTGGTCCATAAGACAACTTGATGTGAAAAATGCTTTCTTACAAGGTGACCTTAGAGAAGTCTATATGGAGCAACCACCTGATTTTTCTGATACTTGTTTTCCCACTCGTGTGTCGCCTTCGTAAGGCTATTTATGGTCTAAAACAAGCTTCCCGAGCTTGGTTTGATCGCTTTAGTTTGTTTCGCTCTGCTGACTCGTCCTTATTTATTTTTCGTTCTCATGGTAACCTCATCCTCTTGCTTGTCTAAGGATGCCTTTCATGCTATGTGGTCCAAGCTTGGAGTGCTGCCATCGCCGCCCTCCAACTTGAGGGGGAGTGATAAGGATGATCACCAATGGTTACATTGCCAGTCAATATTATATTGAGCTTAGCATTATTCTTGCAGAGAATATCTCTTGGTTTAGGAATAGTTTCCTTAAATTAAGGGTCTGTGATTAATTGCTTAATTTAAGGGTCTGTTATTGTATTGAGATTTCCTTAATTTATGGGTATGAGATTGTATTGAGATTGTCTTTGATCACTCAAATCCTATATAAGAAATACAAGTCAGAATAGGCAAATCATGTTTCTTGTGATAGCCTTTTCCTCCATTTTATTTTCTTCCCAAACCTAGAGTTTCTTCACAAAGTACATGATTTGGATCACAAAGTGTGATCCATAAAAAATAAATAATAAAAGAATTACAAGTATGTCAAGATTGGGAAATGGATACCCCACTCTGCTTCTCTCCCCCCCCCCCCCCCCCACATGTGCATAGTGTGTACTAGTACACATTTGAATATTTGATGGACCAGACAAGTTCTATAAAATGGACCAATATAGTTCTACCCCAAGAAGTACGGAATTGATCTTTCTTTTTTACCCATTCATAACACTATTAATGTTAATCACTATAGTGATGCTCTATTGAGATATTTTGTTACGTACCTGAATACGCGAAGGGCGCAGGAAAATCTGACCCCTTAGAGATTCAATCATGTAGTCACTGCACCCCAGATCTGTAAAGGACTTTCTACTAAAAATATCATTGTTGGCAGTCAATTTCTGCCCTTGGTTTGAAATGTCCAATTGCTTAGATCTTAGGTTCTTTATTGACTCTCCATTACCCCATCGTCTTAAAGAAGCCGCAGAAACTCTTGAAACAGAAGCATTTGCTTCTATCATTTGATTATCAAACTCTTGAGATTCCATTGCTGTACTTTGATACTCAGACAATTGATCAACTCCACGTTTCATAGATATATCGGAGTGGTCCAACTCTTTCCTGTCATGACTTTTTGCATCATCTTTGGTTTCTTGCGATAGGGAGGCTCTTAAAACATTTTTTCCATCTTTAGTAACATCTAATCTCTTGTGTTTCTCCAAGAATTCAGGTTCTGAGTGTGAATCAATAGATCTGTGGGAAGCAGCATCTTCAATAATAAGTCCATCAGAATCACGCTTGTTGATACCTTGCTTCGTCGGATAAGTTCTTTTGACAAGATCTCTTACTCTCTGGGCTTTTAGTCTTCCAAAACTTCCTGTTAATCCCCTGTTAAACGCTGTACAAACCGAAAGACCTTTAGAACAGTGTGTAGCATAGTATAATTGAAATTCCAAGGCTGATATGTGATGCTAAGATAAATGCACCTGAAAGTTTTACTTTCTAAAACTCTTTAGAAGAAGTTCCATTTGGGAACAAACTATCTAGCTCCAAGATTAAACGAGAAAAAATGAAATGCATATCATTGGTTTAAATAAGTGCTTTTGCATTTATGTGGATTTGAAAAACAACTGAAACCTAGTTGAATGAAAGGTTCCCAGATCAATAACTTAGGCGTTCACTTTGGCAAGGACTGCGGTAGACTGGTCCTCCTAATCATCCTCTTCAAGATTATGGCCAGGCTCAATGGCTTACAATTATTGATGTAAAGCATCTAGATGAAAAAGTGGGAAACTGGATTTGTTTGGACTTTGACAACTATCATGTAAATGGAGGGCATGTGTTAAATTATTTGAATAATTGTTGTGTATTAGTTTTTTTAACCAGAAAAAGTAATGGTGAGACTTAAACCCTCCAATTATAATTAAAGTTGCAATTCAGAAATGAGTCAAGAGAAGGAAGTTAGTATGTTATAAGATGAAATTAAAACAATGAATATGAATTTTGCTATCCCTGACCAAAGGAGTGGGAGCTGTCTATCTCCCTCATATACTATAAAATTGCAAATTCATAACATGAAAAAGAAGAAAAATCCAATTTCAAAGCAAAAGAAGAAGAAGAAGAAGAAGAAATAGAAAGAAAATAGAAATAACCTGGGTTACTGTTGTTGGTGGTGGTGGAGGGTGATTTTCTACTCCAAGAGAGAACGTCCTTTGAAGGTATAGGAGATTGATCATGAGCGTTGTCGATTCCTCCCCAGACGATGACCTTTTCACCGGTCTCGTCGTCGATGAGCCTGGAGTGTCCATGGGCCTCCGAGTGTAACCAGCTCTGATCACAACTCCAACTCTGCAGAAACTGACTGATGTAAAGGTTTCCATTTCCATTTCTTGAGCAGAAACTGTGGAAGGGAGGAGGAGGCGGCGAATAGCAGCCGGTGAAATTGAGGCGTTCTGACAAGTTTATAGGAGGAGCCTTAGCCAGCAGCGCCATTTTCATTATCATTCACACCATTAAAACACACCCCATAAACAAAGATACATTGCCGCTTCTGGCTGGCAGTAATGGATAATACACCCACCCCCACTCATGTTGTTAAATTGTTGATGAAATTAATTTTCCTAAGGTGCGCACACTGTTCGATTTAGATCAATTTATAAGTATTTCAGATTTTAATGGAACCTAACAGTTTTTAAAATAAAAATATTTTAAAATTTAATGAAACTTAATCGTTTTAAAAATAAATTAAAATCAAAAAGTAAAATAAATGTAACCGAGCCACGAGAGAACCGTTTAGTTCAATTTGAACCTATAAAATTCCAAACTAAAATTGAATCATTTATTTTAAAAAATAAAATTTTGAAATCGAGAATTGGCCAACCAATTTGATTGCATTGCTCTTTTGATAAAGCAAAGAAACCAACATGAGAAATTCGAAGTCTCTTTGGAGGACTATGAGAGTGAAGAGTGGAGGGCTGGCTGGCCTGGCCTAATAGATAATTTCTTGAGCCAAAAATTAAAAATCAAATCAACTAATCATTCATTAGAATTACCAAACGCAATTTTTTCAACGCTCAAACAATAGGCGTAACGAACGAACAGGCCCTAATTTTTCAAAATATAGATATATATATATATATATATATATATTGAAAAGAGATGATGGGTTCATAAAAAAATTAACATACATACCCCAAAATGCCCTGGAATAACTCTAAATACGTATTTGTTGGTGTGATTTGGCTTGGTTTGATCAATGAAGACACCTAGTCGCAACTATGAGTTTGTTAACGGAGATGGAGATGAATACGATAAGACAAATAAACAAACCTTTCTTACTTCCATTGATCACATTCTCTCTGCTTATCGCAAACACGCGCCGTTTAATTCATTAAGTGGACTGCCAAAAACAAAGCAGCAACAATTAAGGCACATTACCAATTTTCTCTGTTTCCCTGCAAAAACACTCTCTTTCTGTCACATACCAAATTTTATACTGCAAGAAAAATCATTTCTGGCAATCATTACATTAAAAAAAATCATCAAAATGTTCTGCAGCGGCATTTTCATTATCATTCACACAATTAAAACACACATGCATTAGACCCATGAACAAAAAAGATATATCGCCACCGCTTCTGGCTGGCTATAAATAATAACAGATAATACACCCACCCCCACTCATGTTATTAAATTGTTGATGTAATTAATTTTTTTTAGGTGCACACACTGTTCGAATTAGATCAATTTATGAGTATTTTGAAATTTTAATGGAACCTAACAGTTTTAAAAAAGAAAATAAAATAAAAATATTTTGAAATTTAATGGAACCTAATCGTTTTAAAAATAAATTAAAAATTAAAAACCAAACAGTGAAATCAATGAAACCGAACCACGAGTGAACCGTTTAGTTCAATTTGAACCTATAAAATTCCAAACTAAAATTGAATCATTTATTTTAAAAAATAAAATTTTGAAATCTAGACTAGGCCAAACCGACCAATTTGATTGCATTGCTCTTTTGATAGCAGTACTCTTGTTAACTTTGACACTTGGAACTAATACAAGAAAATAAGAATTCTACTGCTTAATTCACTAGAGTTGGGGTGTGGAAATTCATCCCGAAGGGCGGGATTTAGGGTGGGAGACATCCATTTTTAAACTACATCACACTTGGGTAGTAGCCAGCTCAAGCATACATGAGCTAAACAACTGGGGTGGGTCAGTGGTGTATTTACATTACAATTGATACAAACAAACATTAACAGGGAACAATTACATTGTATAATTTGCATTTGGGTAGTAGCCATATAAAGTAAAAAGTTTCAGTTCTTACATTGTTCAAATAAAAATAAAATAAAAATAAAAAAAACCACCACGCTATGGCGTGCGTATTCTTGCCCAAACAGGACGATTGATCACCCTAAGAATTCTCAAAAATCATTTGCTTCTTCACATACCACCACTGCTATGCATTCTAAGAATGAGTAATTTAAAAAAAAAAAAAAACCTGCAACCGTATGTTAAAAATACTTCTAAGCTCCCTCTTAGTGCCTGCAGCGACTTATTTCTCTTGCTGTATATTACACCAAGCACAAAGAAGAGCATTTGCAGGTTTTTGATCTTCTATTATCCAGAAGACGTGCAGAAAAGTTCAACATTTGTCCAAATTTACTTGAATCATCTACCAAATCTCTCAACTCTCCTAAGACGTAATTCCTCTAAAGAAAGATCATGAGACTGATTTGACGACCCAACGGATGACAGTCCATCATCACGACTCGTGCCACACATCTCACACACACTTAACCAACCGGAATTATCGAACGTACATGCTCGGCATGTCCAAATGCTAGGCGTATTCATATGCCTCCCACCTATGGTTCTCCTACCAGAGATTTGCCGCTGCCGGAACCCACACAAGTTCCGCACAACCCTCAGAGGCCAGTTTAATACATTGGAAAAACCACTAACGATTGTTGTTAGTGGATCCCGGCCTGAATATAAAGCCTTGAGCCGGAGATAGAGAATACCCGCAAGTATTCCACCAAGGTGGCCCAAGAAAGAGACACGAGGAACAAACATTTGGATGAGAACCAGTTCCGCCCATGCAGCATAACGTGAGGGTATCGTCAGTCCATGGATGTAAGTGTAGTTATCTGACTGGGAATTGAGTACAACTTTCATGGCAAAGAGGACACCGGAAAATCCAACAGCATATTCCTGGTAATAAGCTCTCCCATAATCAAAGAACAGAAGGGATTTGGCCAGTACCAGTGTTATGCCCTGGGACATACCAAGTAGTGCAGCAACCATAGATGCAAATTCAACACTCCCCATCGAGGTCTCCAACTGGATCCCCTTCCATAAAAGTGACATCATGTTGTAGACCAGGTGAGATTCATCTATGTGGTAGAATGCCGACAGGAGGAAGCGCTTGAGGTCCCTGTGCTGCTCAACCAAAGACAAAGGATATTAGGAGATGGAAATAAAAATATATATGATATCACCTCAGAAAGTTGTTCAACTCCAAATTATACAAAGCCAAGTTATATCATCTCATATTATCACTAGTAATGAGATACAAAGTAAGTATGATAAAAATAAAAATAAAAAAATAAAAAAAGTCAAAATCAAAACCGAAAAAATGACCTCGAATAGCCAAAGCACCTTGGGAACGTGAAAATCATCTATCGTGGTCCGCTAATATGGTTGTGTTACTTGTGTATATGTTAAAACAAACTCATTCCTTGATTCTCCATAAAAGAAGTAAAAAAATAAAACATAAAAAATTACAGTGTAGTGATGGCATGCAATACTGCCAAAGTCTATATAGCATGTAGGCTAAGGTGGAAACAGAATTGCAGGAGAAAAGATGCAATATCCTAAAACTTGCACAAGGTCCACCCATGATTTCTAGTTAGTTGTAACTAGGGGTGGCAATTGGGTGGGTTTGGACGTGTTTTGGGCTGATCATGAATGGGCGAGTCAATAGTGGGTCAATAACTCATTATCAACCCATTTATAATGGGTGTTGGGTGTTAAATGGACTAGTTAACACACACCCAACCCAATTACACAAATGTTTTTAGATACAATTGTCAAATTATTTTAATTATTATTTTTTTTTTTTTGAAAATTAATTATTTTAATTGTTTTTTTTTTATAAGTAAAAGTTTATTAGAAAAACGTTCAAAAGGAGAACGCGTCCATAATACACAAATCAAAAACTAAACCTAAGGACCAATAGAGTCCAAAAGATCAACTAAGTCATCAGTTGAGGAGCAAGCGCTTCCTCTCATATAATAGAAAAGAGAACGGAGAATATGGATTTTTAAGTTTGCCAAAGACGATTCATTTCCTTTGAAATTTCTACTATTTCTCTCTCCATCTACACCACCAAACACAGTGTGGAACTATCCTCCAATAATCACGAGCATGACCTTTCACTGGGCATCTTCTCCACGCGTTAATCAGTTCTATGGAGGACTGAGGCATTACCCAATGAACCCCAAAAATGCTAAAAATGAGATTCCAACAATCGTACACCACACGACAGTCATAAGAATATGATCCACAGACTCACCGTCTGTTTTACATAGACAACACCAATTAATAATAGTGTTACCTCTCTTTCTCAAATTATCCAACGTCAAAATCTTACCCCAGGTGGCAGTCCAAACAAAGAATCAGACTCTAAGTGGAGCCTTAGAGCGCCATATAGTCTTCCTTGGGAAATCGTGACCAATGAAATTGGACAGACACAAGCGCATGGACTTGACACCCAATCTACCATGGGTGGCAGGGACCCACAAAATGTCGTCACTACCTCTGCCAACATCCTTCTGCTGATACAACAGATCCAAAAAAACGCATGCTTCTTCCATCTCCCAATCCTGAAAAGAACGCCTAAAACGCAAATCCCACGTAACCCCACTGCTATCAAGCCGATAACAGTTAACTACACAAGCATGTTTATTTTCAGCAATATTGTAAAGTCTAGGAAAGGAAAGAGACAACAACTGATTCCCACACCATAAATCCTCCTAAAATCATACACGCCTACCATCACGAACCTTGAATCTAATGTGTAAGGAAAAAACATCCCAACCCTTCTAAATGAATTTTCACACGCCGACACCTCCCGTAACAGAGACTGGACGGGAGGACAACCACCACTCTCCTCCCCAAAACGACACGAGACAACCCTTCTCCACTGGCGATGTTGTTCTCTACCGAATCTCAATAACCACTTTCCCAATAAAGCTCTATTAAAAGGAACCAACTTTCAAATGCCTAAACCGCCTAACTTCAAAGGTTTGCAAACTTGCTCCCAGTTAACAAGATGATACTTGAACTCCTCTCCCCTTCCACCCTATAGAAAGTCCCTTTGAATTTTTTCAATCCTTTCAGAGCATGGGATTTGAAACAAAGATAAAAAGAAAGTGGGGAGGGACGAGAGAGTACTCTTAATAAGAGTGACCTTCCCCCCCTTCGAAAGGTACTGTTTTTTCCATCCAGCCAATCTCTTTTCATACCTATTAATCACCGGGTCCCAACTCCCCACTCTCCTAGAGGAAACCTCCAAAGGCAATCCTAAATAAGGAAGAGGAAAAGCACCCACCCTGCACCCAAGAACTGCAGCTAAGGAGGAAACATCTGGAACATCCCCCACTGGGACAAGCACACTCTTTCCAACATTGATCTTAAAATATAAAAATGTTTTTATATTAAATTTATTAATTGTTTGGTCTTACTCGTTACAATTTTTTTTTCCCATTTTTATATTATTATTATTTTTTTTTGGGGGGGGCGGGGGGGGGGAATAAAGAGAGAGGAGAGAGAAAAAAAAAGGGAGAAGAGATAGAATGGGAGAGTTATCACATAAAAAAATTAAATTAAATTAAAAAATTAAAAAAAAAAATCTTTTTTTCTTCTTTTTTTTAAATAATAATTTTAAAAGAAAATATATATATATATATATATATATATATTTTAACTTTTTTTTTTTTTTTTTTTTTGGAGGAGAGAGAAATGGGGAGAAGAGAGAGAAACAGGGGAGAGAGAAACAGGGGAGAAGAGATAGAAACAAGAACATAGAGAGATAGAAACAGAAAATATTAATATTAATAATATTAGAACACCTACACCTCCAATATTATGATTGTTGAATAACAAAATATATATATATATATATATATATATATATATATATATATATATATTTACATTAATTTTTTGATTTCAAGGGTTACAATTTTTTTTTTCTTTTTTATGACAGAAAAGAGATAAAACAGAGGAGAGAGAAAAAGAGAAAAAATAGAATTTTGTTTGAACAGTTAAGATGGGTACCCACTCATTGACCATTGAATTGAATGGGTACCCACTTTTACCCATTGTTGACCTACTCACTTAAATTTGGATACTCAAATGATTTAATTTTAGTGGGTGTTTGGGCTTAAATTGCCACCCCTAGTTGTAACCTTGTGTTGAACCCTTCCCACCGAATCTACCTAGTAACCACAATTTCAAACAAATGAATTTGGAAAAGTTACAAATCAAAGTATATTGTGTAAATTTATTAATCTAACTGAATGATGCCTAAGGTACAATTTCAACTCTTCTAATAACCAAATATTTGTAATTTCATACTGATCAAGAACACAATGCAAAAAACATTTCATGCATGATTTGCCACAAAATAAACACCAGCATCAACATCATAACATCAGAAAAATACCATAAACAAGTTGCCTACCAAAACTCAACCGTTTCAAAGAGCTCTGGGTTTGCCCAAGTATTAGACACTGCTGTGTCTGTGTGTGACGAGTTTCAGGTTGGGGAAAAGTTCCATCAGTGTAAAAGAGAACTCTCCACCTCACCCACTCCCTCCACCTCCAGAGTGTTGGGGTTTTGGCTTTATTGGAAAACTCTACACCGCCAAACAGTCATCATCTTTTTCCAACAAAAAATTTATTTTAAGAGCCTAATTATTGGAATTTTTTAAATGTTCATTTAGGAGAATTGTATTTTCATATCCGTTCTTTTGAGATGTGAATGTAAAATTAGGAAAATAAAGTTGATGATGATGAGCAAGGACGATTTATGAAACTATGATAAGAGCATAAAGGAAAAGGTTATAGAATGACACATATGTAAAAACTTAGAATATGCTGAAACAAAAGACTCGAGGGAAAAGATAGGGTAAATAGATTCCATAAGCCAAGAGGCCCAAGACAAGATTCTTAAAATTTCCTGTCAATGCTGCAGCTAAGAAATGTTGTGCAGTGACAACAATCAAGAAAAAGCTTGTCCTATTAACATATGCAAAAGGTTCATACAATAACACGGGTTCAACAACCAAAAACACATAAAACTATTACCTGAGATCTAAGAATTCACTAACTAACGGGTGAAGCCTTTGCAACAGCTGTAAAAGTGCTCGGCTGGCATCTAAAAGGAAGAGGTGGGGCTTGGGGTTTATATCTTATTCTCTATGTATCCTAGGGTTCAAATCTTTATTCTCTTAATCAACTTTATTTGATACAGCTTAATGGTAGATTCTTTTCGATACTTGTGATCCTTAACAAATTTTGATCAAGGTTTCGAGTCTACCTCAACCTCAAATAGTGTCGTAATTGAAGCACTTTTAGCCTCATCTACAGAAAGACAAGGAATAGGTTGACATACTTCAAGTTAATGTTCATTTGTTACAAAACGAAGCTTAAATTGAGATTTGAGACACACCATGCAAAGAATCCAACAAGAAGCATATCTAGCTTCAATTCCATCAACCTAATGATGCAGAAAGAGAAGAAGAAAGATAAGAGAGGGAGAGGGAGAGGGTGAGACTTCTCAATAACAATAATAATCCTCCTCCAATTATATAAAAGTCTACGTATGCACAAACCCCAAGCATACTCTAAGCAAGAGACACTGACTAAATAATCCAAAAGATAAATATCAAAGAAAACAATATATCTATATATATATATATATATATATATATTAATCTCTCTAATTCTTACCAAAAGGTCTAAAACCATAATAAAAGAGAAGATAAAATCCCAAAATCTAAATCTAGCACCTACATGTGCAAATTATGTGTGGCATGTGGATTGGGTTGCAGCCTTATCCCATGATCCCATCAATACTTACTCAAATCCCCCTTAAGAAGAAGTCTCCTCCAGAGAGATGAAGTGGTGGCATTCCGCAATATGATAAAATGCAACGAAATGTGTCCTCCATAACTTGTTTAATATCTCTCTCCTTACGACCTCCTTAAATGGCTCCTATTACACATTAGGCTTCTCAAGTGACAAGCCCCCTTCTCTTGGAAGAAGCTAAGGCTTCCTCGTTCTTCCTTAATAAGATATATAACATTTCCTCAATATAGTAGCGCTGTAGCAGAAAAAATCACAGACACCTTTTGTTGCTTAATTTTGTATTAAACAACAAAAACAATCCTATGTTATTTCTGGATTACTGCATCTTTTGTTTCTCAAACAATGCATCCAAGAATAATAAGTACTCCGATTTTATCAAAAAAAATATGGTCCCTGCCCTTTGTTTGGAAATGCCTCTTTAGAGACCCAGAAAAAAAAAAAAAAAAATGAAAAAAATAAATAAAATTCCTATTTATTGTTTGTTATTATTGTTATTATTTTTAGGTTTATGTGTATTTATGTAATAATGTTGGGTATTGGGTGGAATTGAGAATAAAAGAAAATAATAGTTTAAGGAAAGAAAAAAATATATATTAATAGAAATGAAAGGTAAAAAAAAATTATATATCTATATAAGCGTACCTCGGCAATAGTGCGGAGGTAGTTTTTACATAATATGCTTGCTAACCAAGGCCAGATCAAGGTTAGTTTGTGATTACTTATCTGGGGCTACATATATATATATATATACATATATATATATATATATATACACAAACACACACGTATATATAGTTAGAGATGCTGGACAATTGTGTTTTACTCTATAAAGGAAACTAAGGGTGTTTGTTTTGTTGGTGAGTGTCAGTGGGCCGTAAGCGAACAAAATAATAGCCCAATTCTGCGCTTGGACGAGTATAAAAATATATATATTTACGGATAGGCTGAAAACGTGAAGGAGTGAGATTTATAAACCCTAGCTCCTTTTCTTCTTCAATCATTCTCTCTAAAATTTGAGATCTTGGAGTGGGATTCTGCAAAGACTTCAAAAATTAAAGTTGCTCTATTCGACGGTTCTACAATTTGATACTATTGGAGTACCAATTCGTGGTTATTGATCTTACAAAGTTTTGCTTTTCTTTGATTGAGGTACGGGTATACTAACTCTAATAACCCATAATTATGTGATTTGTCCTACCTTGTATTTTTTATATATATTGAATAGCATGGTCAATATGTATAGGGTGGAAGGTTTTAATGATTGTTCATCTATTTGGTTGGGTCTTAGTGTGGTTGAATTATTTTAGAGTGAGATTATTTTGTGTTTAAATTTGTGTGTTGATTGAGAATATATTGTTAGTTGTTATACATCATAAATTGATATTGTTGCACAATATATGAAGTTTTAAATGCTGATTTTTGTCATTTTTGAGAATTAATGCATTCAAGGTGTTCGATAAAATACTTCATTGAATGGTTCAAGTTTGAAGTGGTTTTAGTGTACTCTTTTGATGTGTTATTTAATAAAAGGGAAATAAGGAAGCATGAATAAGGGCTGATTTTATATTTTGACACACTTGGTGATAAATGTGTGGAATTGAGTTTGAGCGTAACCGATTGGTTGACGGGGTTGTGCCGGAGAAGCAAGATAGGGCTCGGTGCCCATAGGTGAAAAACCTTCAACTGGAGCTCGTATCCAACGGGTTAGTAGCCCGTGAACCGAGTAGGTGTTGCGTGGCTTGCGATGTCAAGTGCACAGAATTACGGACAATGCCCGGAATTTAATTGACTAGAATGTTGTACTTTCTTGAGATGAAACTGGTTAAGAAGTGATTTATTTTATAAGAGTTTTGGTGTTTCTTATTCGATATTATTTGGAAGGTGATTTGAACGGTGTTTTATTAAATAGAGGTGTTATTTGCACAGTTGATATATCACATGCTCATGCATAATAATTTATGTTCGTATCATGTTCTCAAACGTGTTGCTTGGTTGTGGCATCTCATATGTTATTGATTACTTTTGTTAGTGTTTTTCTACTGGGCTTTGCTCACTCCCCCAAAACAGTTTTGCAAATGAAGGATACGGTGTAGCTTACTTGGAGTAAGATCACTTCTATGTTGAGGAATGATATTTATTTATTGGGCTATTTCTGAGTTGGACACGTGTTGGTGTTGCCACTTCAATTTGAGAACATGTAATAGTTTAATTTTCTCATTTGAAATGATAAAACTATCTAATAATTTAATGTATGGTTTAATTATGTTAGACCATTTGAGTTAGTAAAGATTAAACTAAGTCACACTTGGTTTGTTGTTGTTTAATTTAATTAGGTTAAAATGGGTACGAGTATCATCGAGTTGGATTGAGTAATTACTCTAATTAGTGGGTACTAACCTCACACATATAATCTAAATGAAGTCAGGTCCATGAGGATTGTCACATGAAAAAATAATAATAAAAAAAAATATATATATATATAGTTGAATTAAATAGAATATAAGGACAATTAAATAAAATAAAAGAATGGTCCAAGTTGAGTAAGGTTATATTAAGTTTTAAACTTAATTTCCTTTATCTTTTATCACCCACCAGGTTTTAAAAACCGGGGCATGACAGCCTGTGTCGTTGATTATGGTTTAACTACTGTTGAACGGTCAAAATTTTCATACCGGGCCTTTGATATAGCATCAACATGATTATTTTGACAACAGCATTCTAATAGCTCCAAAGAATTTGAAATATTTGCAGTTTCATCACTCCTCATTGGAACAGTTCCATATTACATTATTGACTTAGGTGATCCATCTATAGAATGACCATTCTTCTAGGAGAAACTTAATTTATAACATGTGTTTTAGCCTTATGAGATAGCTCATTTGAATCTTTAAATTCCAAAAACTTGTTACCACTTTCAAAATACTACCCAAGCCCCTTCGGGTAAGAGAAGGCTCTTGTGATTTTCTTAAGTTAAGTTGCGAGACAGTGTTATTTTAGCTTGAGTCAGTGTTTGGGACTTAACTATATTATGCCAATCATTCTGATGAAAAAAAACAAAATTTGTTTGTTTTACCCAAAAAAAAAAAAAAGGCACAGAACTTATTTAAAATCATATAGCCAATATCATTAATCAAGGTGATTCATAATACATGAAAGCCTGATTCACTATAATATATATATATATATGTATAGGGTAAGTTGATGCGGGTGGGTTTCAGTGGTGATCTCTAATCGAGGGAATTCAAAGAGGTTACTGCAATGATATACCTAAAACATGAAAGCGCCCAAAACCAGCACAACTAATCAATAATCAATATTGATGCCAAGAAAAAGAAAACAGTGTGTGTATAATTAATAAATATAAAGTAATTGGGGGATTGAGAGAGAAATTAATTACCTTGAGAATGAGGTGGGGATTGAACAAGACCTCATGGAGGGTAGGGAGCATAGAATCGACGAAAGCAGGCTGCCTCAGATAGATGAGAGTGTTGGCGGCAAGAAGTCCGGCGGTAACGGGTGGCTTCCAGCCAAGCCTGCAATACTCGCTCACAGCATGCAGAGCCAGCAGTGGAAGCATCCCATTACTCCTCCTCCCTCTCTCCATCTTTCTTTCTACCCTTTTTTTTTTTTTTTTTTACAGATGGACTACTTCCTTCTCTCCTTACTTTGCAGCACAAACAAACAATTTCTCCTTCCTTTGTTCCTTTCTTCCTAAATAAAACTTAACTGCACACCTGACGCCACCGTCTCTAATCTCACGAGGCAGACAACTTTTGGGTTTCGTTTGGGATTCTTCCTTCATCAAGAAAAAACCTAGAATAAAAGATTCCAGACTCTTCCGTTCTATATATATATATATATATATATATATATATTGTGAATTGCTAACTGCTTCTATTTTTAATGACGCATTAAAATCTAGGATAAAGTTAAAAGAGAAAAAAATAATATAAAAAAACTTTTATAAATAACCCGATTTGTTACTATCAATGACAAATGCATCACACAAAAAAGTATTTTATCTTTTCTTATTAAATTGTGATTTTTTATTAAATTATTTTTATCAAGAGCATAAGCGATGTACGTAAATTTTTTGTCAACGACAAAACAAAAAAAAAAAAAAAAAACAAAAACAAATTATTTTTACTATACAATCTACTCTAATTTTATTATCAATTTATCATAAAATGAAAAAAAAAAATTATAACTAAATTTTTTTTAAATAAATAACTTACTATTAAAATTTTATTATATATAATAAAACTTATTATATTCAGTTTAAAAAAAAAAATACCTTCTTTTTCATACAATATATTCATAAATTTTTTAAAAAAAATAGTTAAATAAAAAATACCTTCTTTTTAATGCAATATATTCATAAAAAATTAAGAAATGACTTATATTGTTTTAAAATCTTCTACTTAATATTTTTATTTAAACAATTGATTTAAAAAATAAGGGTGAATTTATGCAAATTTAATGGACGTTATGCCATCAAATTAGTATGAATTTTTTTTTATATAATTTTTTTAAATAAGAAAAATAGATTAAGTGCAATTCAATAAAAGAACAAGAAATTACCAGAAAAAAAAATTTCAATAAAAAAGGATATCATGATCATTTAATGAAATAATTTAGGTATTGGGATATTTTGTAACAAAATGTGATAGTTCAAATGGTGTTATGTATAAAATATATAAAATATAATAATTTAAAGAATATTATGCACAAAATATACTTCAATGAATTATTTGTAAATTCAGAATGTAGTTCTCCCAAGTACTAAAAGTTTATTATGCCTTAATCTAACCGGTTTACTTAACTTCAAATTTGTCCCCATTTCTTATATTGACTTTTTATTAACTAATAAATGAAATGAAATGAAATGACTCAGACATCCATGTCAAAATCATAGCTTCTCTTTTTGGATTCTCATCATTCAATTCATTTGAGCTTAAGGGGAATGTTTCATCCTCAGTTTTTGAGAACAGAACATTGTGTGGTTCGGTTGGTGAGCGAGAGAAGAACTCCAGTGGGGCGTGGGCTTCCACGGGTATAAACGACCCCGATATATAAGATTATGGTTATGTAGGTTAATATAATAGAAAAAAACTCCGTGTACAAGGGTAGCATCATTGTAGATATTGAGAAGGTTAAATATGCGTAATCTTACATTTGCATATGGATAACTGTTCATCAGGACCAATATTACTATTGCGTTGAGGCCTGCCCCTCTTACACAGATCGATATGGAGTGACCAAATAAAAATAACTTTAAAACTGCTTTTCTAATATTTTGTCCACAAAAATATTAGGGATAATTGCAATTTTGACAGCTTTTGAAGTCAATTCTACCAAAATGCTAACTTTTACCCATACTATTTATAAAAGAATTTATAAAAGACCTAAAGTTTTAACAAATCCAACAACTATTTCGTGGTTTGAATTGCCCTTTAACCTAATTCCAACAATTATTAAAGTATCATCAATCCTAATTCATGCACCAATGCACACATTGTAATTAATCAATATGTACAGACACATAAATTTTAGTTTAAACTTTTGCACCTGGAAGGAGCAACTTTCAAAATCACGCGCGCATGCAAGAGATAATAGAAAGTTATGCATCGCGTTAAAATCAAACTTTATGAAAGTAATAAAGGTCATTTTAATAATTGTTGGAGTCAGGTTGAAGGTCAATTTGGTACATGAAATAAAATGAACAATAAAAGAGTTTAGATTCCTAAATAATTTAGGACTTTTGCCAACTTTTGTAAATAATGGGCCAAAGTTGGCATTTTGGTTGAATTAGCTATAAAAGTTGTCAAAGTTACAAAATTTTCAAAATATATGTTAAAAGGGGAGACTTGTCTCAAATTGGATTCGGATGAGAAGTGAAATGGAAATATCCTTGTGCAACTAACCTAGCTTTATTTCACATCACAAGACCATCTTCATCAAGTTTATTTTTAAAGATCCATTTGGTCCCTATGATTAAAGCAACTCTTCTTGCATAGCCATAAGCCAATCAGAACTTTGAAGAGCTTCATCAACATTCTTTGGTTCAAACAGAGTCATGTGACATGAGTGTCCTAAATTATCTACAATGCATGAGTGTCCAAACTAATTACTACGAACTGTACTCCTAGTACCCGGTCTATCCCATGAGCCTATGACATCGTCAACTGGATGACTTGATCGAACTCTAGAACTACTAGATGTGGGAATGTCTAAAGAAGGTGCAGGAATTCTTATAGGTTCATCAGTGGTGACCTCTAATTCCTCATAAAAATCCTCTTCAACCACTTCACCTTCTCCACCTAAATTCTCAATTCTTTCTTCCTCATTAACTGTAGGTTCATCCCTATTTTCTATAATTTCAAAGTCAGTCTCATCCTCATCAAATTTAGTAGAGATAATCTTAGGCCTTGTATCATCAAACACAACATTTATTGATTCCATAACAACTTTGGTTCTAAGATTAAAAACCCTAAAAGCTCGACTTGTTTGTGAATACCCCAAAAAGACACATTCATCACTTATAGAGTCAAATTTTCCCAAATGTTCCCTATCTTAAGGATATAACATGTACTACTAAAGATTCTAAAGTATTTAACAGTGGACTTTCTATCATACCACAATTCATATGAAATTTTTTTAGTTCCACGCCTAAGATATACTCTATTTAGGATATGACTAGCAGTACGTACTGATTCAGCCAAAAAATGACTAGTTATTTTATTCTCATAAAGTATAATACGAATCATACCTGCTATTTAACTATTTTTCCTTTCCGCCACACACCATTCTATTGTGGTATTTTAGGTGCTGAAAATTCATGCTTAATGCCAAACTTTTCACAGTATTCAATAAATTCCTTAGGTTCGAATTCTCCTCCATTATTGCTCCTAAGCTAAGTTATTTGAAACCCCTTCTCATTTTGAATTAATTGACAAATAGACCTAAAATTTACAAAAATATCAGACTTTTCTCACAAAAAGGCAATCAATGTAAATCGAGAATAATCATCAACCATAACAAGCAAATATATTTTTCCTCCAATGCTTTCAGGTGATATGCGACCTATCAAATCCATATGTATCAATTCTAAAGGTCGAGTAGTGACTTTATAAATAAGTATCTTATGTGACATTCTAGTTTATTTTCCCAATTGACATGAACCACATATTTCATTCTTAGGCATTTTTAACTTAGGCAAACCTCGAACAGGATCACTATTAGACAAATCATTAAAATTCACAACGTACACTAAGTCTTTTATGCCATAAAATTGCCTCATCAATAACTGCAAAAAAACACACAAGTGAAGGATCTGAATAAACACCATAGTAATTATTAGAAGTTCTAGTTCCTTTCAAGACATATTCACCTTTTTCATTAGTTACAAAACACCATTGTTGAGTAAAATTGACTTGAAACTACTTATCACAGATTTGACTAATACTCAACAAATTAGCACTTAAACCTTTAACATATAGAATATTTTTTAACTCCCCAATTCCTGAAATTTTGATCTTACCTTTACCACTTACACTAGAAGCATTACCATCACCAAAAGTAACAGTTCCAACTAGCATTCCTTAAAAGTGATAAACAATATTCTATCACATGTCATTTGCCTAGAGCAACCACTATCAAAGTACAAACCACATGGACCTAGTGCTATAAGTGCAGTGTGCATAGCAAGGCATTTAAAATTCTCTTTCTTTATCCAAACAATTTTAGATTCATTATGCAATGATTTCCTTATTGTCCTAGGCAAAGTGTCACAAGGCTCAGAAGATCTAATCCTTCTCTTCTTCTTATTTGAACTCTATAGATTTTTCAATTTCATCCCAAGTTCAAATTTTCTTTTCTGACACTTATACTTGATATGACTTTTTTTTCCCACAAAAATGACATGTTAAAATAAGTTTGGGAGAACTAGTAATAACAGAAAGTTTGGTTTCAACTTTCACAAAAACTTCTTTAGATTTTTTAAAATACATATCATTTAAAGTTGAAGTCAATTCTTTGTTACTACTAATATTCTTAACCAATACTTTCAACTTATCAATTTTGCAAATGTCAGTGTCAAATTTCTGAAAAAACTATTTTTTGATTTAACAAACTCACTGCTTAAATTATCAATTTTAAGTTTAAGTGATTTATTAAGTATATTTACTTTTTCAAGTTCCTTTTCCAGAAAATTAACTTTATGAGGAGATTCAAATTTTTCTGGCCAAGTTCTTCCAAATTTTTATTAGAGCAGAAACTTCCAACTTATAAATATCTCTATCAAGTTCTACAAGTTTCAATTTCTCTAACAAATTTTCAAAATCATTTTTAAACTTAGATCACTCAATATGCATGCTTCTGACAAAATCAAAAATATGAGTTAATGGCAATACATCAACAGAAGATTAATTATCAGACATGATGCAAAAATCACAACAAATCAACAAGCATGATCTACTCAATATATCAAGTAACCTACTCAAATACCAAATGTGAGTTACGCGGTGCGGAAGCTGTTAGTTGATTTAATAATGATTAACTCCTTCAATGACCTAGATGAAATTAATAGGTCAACTTGCCCAATTTTTTGTGATTACCTAAGCAATATGATCAATTAAACATTCACAATCGCAAAGACAAATACTAAAAAGTAAAGCAAGTAGAGTTAAAGAGATGGCACCAGAATTTTTAGGGAGGAAATCCCAATTGGTATAATAGACCAATTGTTATGGGAAAAATCTTTTGGTTGTACTACATAAACTTCTTTCTGGAAAATAAATTAAGAAAAGCATTTTTTACATCATTTGAAACAAACTGAATTTAAAGTGACAAGC